CAACGAACGTCCGTCCTCAATCCTCACAGACGAGACAATTATCAAACGTAAGCGTGTAAAATACCATTACAAACAATGCTTTTTCCTTATGATCTCACAGAGTTATTCCGCGCGCGTGCGATCTGAATCCCGTTGGCACGCAGGTCGTAGGGCCCCTTTACTTATGTAAAACACACGTGTAATTGTATTGTTCGAGTACATATGGATACTACTTTATACAAATAAACATGAGCAGATCGAACACAAGAATCGACACAATCGTACCCGTTCGGTCGCATGAGGAAAATTTTATCAACAACTTTTATTTGTCTGATTGCCGAATGGCGGCTTTCGATTATGCTCATATTTTTTAGTTTATTTTTATTATATTTTCCAAAATCCATAAAGTTGTGCGTGCAACAAAGCGGATTTGGGGACATTATCGCTAAGTTAGATAATACAGTATATTTCTAAAGCGGACGCATTTAAGCATTTATGTCAACAAAACACTGATACTGTTAACTGATAATCAATGATTGTTCAAACAAGAGCGACCGTTAAACCGAAATCATAAAATTCAAGTGGAATGAGTGGAAACGTACGAGTTGCGTAAATAATGTTATATAATTGCGACAAGTTTCACCATTTTAACGAATGGTGTACGTTTTATATGTATGTCCGTTAGCCTTAGTAGAACGGTTGTTGACGCGCGATCCAAGGTAGAGCGCGCCTTTCGCCGGCCCTGTCCCCGTGCGGGCCTCGTGCAGCGGCCACCTCCTTACGTAACTGCCAGACCACTCCATGGGAACTGACCATAGGCCCCACCCCCCACTATGACACCGTTCACTGCACGACTTTGAACCTCAAATATTAACAAGAGTGCACTCAATCGTCGCCACATAAAATGAAATACTAATTGAATAGTTCAATAAACTTTTTTTTACTAACGAAAAACAAAACCGACTTCAAATATCTTGCTCTGTATTAATTTTATAATTGATTTTCAGGAGTTTCGTATCTCCAGAGCCCAAGATCCAATACCAATGAAATTAATATGGGACCACCTGGGAATCAACAGCTTTCTAATAAAAAAGAATCATCAAAATCGGTTTACTCAGTCGAAAGTTCTGAGATAACAAACATAAAGAAAAATACAATCGAATTGAGAACATCCTCCTTTTGAAGTCGGTTCATCATCATCATTTCAGCCTGTTTGAGTCCACTGCTGAACATAGGCCTCCCCCATAGACTGCCACGAAGTACGACACATTTGCACAGGTCGGTTAATTAAAGTAAATTAACAGACTATACTAGTCCCACTGCAGGGCAAAGGCGTGCTCTGTACAGTGAGTATTAGGGCATAGTCCACCACGCGACCCCACTGGCGATGGGCAGACTTCACAAATCTTCGAAGTATTTTTTTCTGCTATCGTTTCGAAAATATGCAGGTTTCCTCATGATGTTTTCTCACCGCTGGGCACGAGATAATTCAGCACTTAAAATGGACAATTTCATTGGTGCTGGCAATGCAATTTGAACTCAGCTTGCTCGATAATATTTAATTAAAAACAGAAGCCCGGACACTAAGCTATCACGGTTCCTAAAAATTAAGTGACAGTCGATATAGAGGAATGGCGAAGAAGACATGTTTCATCAACTCCGTGTAAGTAAAATAAGGACCGCTAAATAATGAAGCGAAGAATTCATATGGACCAGATATCCAATAGCAGAAAAAATTATTCCATTACAAAGAATACAAAAATGGAAACATGTAACTCTTAGTTCCTAAGTCTATTGTCAGTTTTTTTTAAAAAAACAACATGTTATTCCGTTGGTGGTTCTATCAATAAATAAATAAATAAAAAAACGTACCTCTTTAAAAACGGAATAATAAAAAATATAATATTATATATAAATATTAAAGGGAGTATAACTGGGCGCTAAGTCTCATAGACGTGACTGATTAACTGACTGAAGGATAAAACCATATCCCTAATACAGCCTTCTAGTGCTCGACATGATCTATACGATATCTAGACATAACAGCTCTATATAGTACCGCTTGAGCTAGGGTTGCTCATCACATTGCTATTTTTAGTATGTATTTTGTATAAAAGAAATTAAATAATTTACAGCGTTACCATCGCGACAATAAATGAATACACGTCTAACGCTACTTGCCAATAATCATAAAAAATATTAACGTTAAACAAAATTCATAATTAAAAAAAAAATTTTTTTCAAACAAACTAATTAAGTAAAAAAGAAGCAAATTTGTAACATCCTATACAACTCGCGCCACAGCGTCGCATTACAAGCCCTTCTAACAGTATGTTTTGTCCCTTTTAAATTCATTCAACCCATTCACATGCATGTGACCTTTACAAATAAACTTTACGTTACAGTTTTATACTTAAGGGTGATCTAAAATTCTTTGTTTTGGAAAATTTAATAACTCTGTAAATATTGATGTTTAAAGAATGTAAATGTTTAATACAATTTTAAAAAGTTATCCCCTATATGTGTGTTCATTTATTGTCGCGATTGTAAAGTCACGCTGTATAAAGTTTAAGTTACCGCCTAAAACAAAAAAAACTCAAATCGTCATCTTTCGAACAAAAACCTCGCGCCATAATCAGTCCATTCGTTTCAAAGCTACGATGTCACAGACAGACAGAGACACGACAAACTTATAACACGAGGGTTATTTATGTGGGGGTTAAAAATAACTGTTGATAAATCAAATTAATGGCTATAATATTGTACCTGAAGTTTGACGCAAACGAAATGGTGGAACCGAGTTTTGATGAAATTTTTCCAAATAAATTGAACAAATACATGAGTCGGCCATTGATAAACTTACTTGAGTCAATGATCTATTAACGTATTTTTCGGTCACCGAACCTGGGGTTATCGTAAATTCAACACTAACGATTGAAATAAAATATAAATGAATTGAATATGATCGACAGCCCTGCGCGAAATATGCTCTAACGCCTACGCAGCACAATGATTGGAATTTTTCATTACCACTGCCGAGTCCTCTCTCCCACGTTTAACGTCATTAATAGTGCGAAAGTATTCGAATTGATATTTCATATTTTTCAATATAATATACAATATCGAGCACTTAATAAATGCCATAGACATTCGACTCCAAGTGATTGTTAATGAAGCATCGTTCTATATCAGAGATTCTTCAGGACTAATCGAAGATGACAATCAGAGTTCTTAATAAATGTTAATGAGGGGGGTTAAAAGGATGGACATACATACACACATACAGGTCAAACTTTTTGGTTCTCCTTTCTTCCTAGGTCCTTCTTGGTTTCGTCGCAGTTGGGTAAAATAGAAGAAACGCCTATAGAGAGCAGAGTTTTCCTCAAGTGCGTTTCCAAATGCTGTTACAAAATATTTGTTTATAGTGTCGGCGCGATATCTATAGTGTTTATCGACACAAAAACTTAAACAAACGTAAACTCCGAGAATATTCGATAAGGTTATCGAGGTGCCATTGGTGTGATAAAATTTAGCTGATATGTCTAGTAAATTGATGTTTTAAAGAAATGATAAAAAAATATTGTTGTATTCTTGTTCGTTGTAATGGTTAAGGAAAACGTTTTATAGGAGGATGGTAAGTGGTGGCAGGTGTATAGATGTTTAACAAGCGGGCTAAAGCCATTACACGCCGTGTTCCTGACTCAATGTCCTAGAGGCAAGTATTTTGTGTTGAAAGTAGTAGCGCCGAATCTGAATATTACTTTTTGTTATTGATTTCATGTGTGAAATCTCTCTTAACATACCAAATTATATATTCCATACATAGACATATCTAATTTTAAAAATAAAAAAGTAGAGCTCTCCTCTTATAAGTGTTTACAATAATATATGCGCGTCATACTAATTGAATCTGTCGGTGATACGTCTTCCATCTTATCGCAATAGAAAGCAGCGAGTTCCTCGAGTGAATTTAATGATAAGGAAAACCTCACTTCGGTAGCATTCGTGTAACGGAGGAAATGTTTAATCACTTGGACAATTATTGATTACTATTCAGCGTTGGCCGATTAATTACAGCTCAAAACATGTTCAACAGCACAAATTAATTCAAGCGTTAAACAATTGGATTGATAATTTGATGTTTCGTTCTAAAACGACAACGCAACGTTCGATGGGGCATGCGAAAAGATTAGGTCTTACGGTGCGTTTTTAATGGGATACCCTGGACACGTCATGACGAAAGAAACTGAGACGAGAACAGCACGAGAGTAAAGAGGAGGCACAAGTTATCTGCGGCCGCGATTCATTCCGAATACATAGAAGTGTCTAAAGGATTACTTTTAAACTGTGTACTGATTCGAGTATCCTTTCTCCTACCCATATGGTGTCGGCACAAGATGCGAATCATATTGCTAGTGCTACTGCCTAAGTTTTATACGACCAGTCGCCTACTTGACGTCAATCCTTATCTGTGGGTCACACAAATATTTTTACTGTCGGATCGAACGAACAACGAGTAACGCTTTAATAATAAAAAATGAAACTATAAACGATTATGATTTTATGATTTATTTCATTTTAGTGCTTGAGTGCACTAAAGATTACAAAGAAAGACTACAAACTTTGGGCGCTACGGAATCCCAAATTAATGATCTACGATTCATCATAGAATCAATAAAAATAAATTATCATAATCTTCGCAATCGCCGAAACTCATTCATTCAGGCAATTCAGGTATTCAATGATATCCCAAAATTTTTCATTTAAATAAACTAACTTTACTGCATCATTTGCATCGGCTAAAATCAATTAGTGATGAAAGTCAGTTTGAAAAGAACCACCGGGTATGACACCAGAGGCATTGTTCGCCGGGTTACTAATCAATATGTGGGATGGGAAACGTTTTATACATTGTTCGGTCAGAGCTGAGAGCACTCAGCCACACGCTCGTATTGTGATTATAGCTTGAGCCGTGTGCACAGCTCACGAATATGCGCGTAAAGGACAGGGTTTTAACTCACCCGATCTCCACATCGTCGAGCCGCTTGTACTTGATGCCCCTGGAGAGCATGTCGCCTTCCTCAACCGCAACCCTACGCGCTGGGCCACTGCCACTGGCACATCGTAACACTCATTCACTTCTCACTGTGCACTCGCCGCGTCGCACTCTCGCCGCTTGTCCTCTTAGATTCGTCAATATTAACCGATCGTTAAATTGCTGTTGTGGAATTTGATTGATCTTAATTGATTTAGATTTTTAACAATATCTCTGCTAGAAATCGAACCAAAGTCAGCGATAAAACCATCTAACCCCATCGATATGAACTTACTAACAGAGCCCAATATCAGAGGTGAATTTCCTTTCATTATTTTTGACACGAGACTGGCACTGATCTATTTTATTTATATAGGAAGATATATAAGTGTCTGTGTGACGCATCAGTCGACATCCCTAAAAATGAGCCGCCATCGTGTGTACGCGACCGACCCCTACCCGTATAGGTTGGCGATTTCAAATAAATATACAATACACGATGTCACAATGACTTAATCAAAGACCCGGAATACACCTCGTCAAGCACCCGCTTATTGTGAAACCGCACAATAAAATATACACAATAACACTCACAATGAGTTATGACGGCCGATGGCCGACTGTTCGTGCTGCCACTATCTTGACCGCTAATAAATTGACGAGGCGCTTGCACACGGTCCCTGCGCGCGAGGCCCGCGCCGCTTGGGGCCCAGTGCACACACAACGCACGGCGCGACCGATAAAATCCAATCCCGCCCAGTTCGTGTGTTGCTCTAGTAATCGCTCAACAACTGGTGCTCCAGATCGCCCTAAGGCGCGCTAGTCGCTGAGCACGAAGTGAATGCACATCTGCCCTACAATAACTATATTGCACACTAGTTGTGCCCGCGACTTCGTCCGTGTGGAATTTAAAATAAAAAAAAATCTAAAATAAAAGTAGCCTTAGTTACTCCTTATTACATCAGCTATCTGTCAGTGAAAGTCCCGTCCAAATCGATCCAGCCGTTTCAGAGATTACCGGAACAAACAGAGAGACAGGCAGACAAAAATTGTAAAAAATTATATTTTGGTATATGTACCGTATATACATATGCATGTAAAAAGCGGTTATTCTAATATTACAAACAGATACGCCAATATTATTTAACTGTATAGATATCGTTAATGTAGCCGGAAAATGAAAATATTCCTCTTAGAATGGACCACGAGTTCACAGCTGTTACATACAATTTCAGTAAGTTTTCAATGAAAATTTCCTTTGAATCTTAAGATCGATTGTGTGGGTTGATAGAGTTCACATTACTATGCAAATTAAATCATCGTGTACCGCGCTGAATGAGTACTTTATATGTAAACGTATCGATTAAAACCAGTAGATACGAAAGAAACCGGAAATCGAATTTATTCTACCGTTGTAATAAAATTAATAGAACGTACCAAGTTACCATAGAACTTATTCCGGTGAAATTGAATACTACAACATAAGTAGCAAAATCATTAGGAAATACATAATGAACAAATAAACACACATCTTTCCGTCAGTTATCTTTAATCAAACCAGATTAAAAGAGAAGCTAGCATCTTAACTTATAAATGTCCTAAATATCGGGACTCCTGCCACAAGCATATTCATCACCGCAGCGGTGTGCAATAATACGAAGCGTCGAGAAAGAATTCAAAAGGGCAATTCTGCACTCTTCGCGAATCGTTTAAACTGTGCAATGGGAAATGGTTAATATCGGACGAAATCAATCTGTTGGTTGGATTGGATCGGTCGCCATTCGCCAAGTTAGAAACGGGCCGCGGCGTGCAACTCGGCGGAAGGCGAGTGAAAGTTGTCGCGCGGACGTAGGCGGGATCTGCGCGCTTGTAATTCTTACCTCTTTTGACATTGGGGACCAATCCAATACGGACGAATTAAATAAACTGAACGAAAGTGTTTCTCACTTATTCTTTATGTGAAGAAACAGCTGGTAGTGTCAGGCAACAGTCTTCGTCCCGTCTGGGGTAGTAACACGACCTCACAGAGTACCGACGTGAAATGGAAGTGTTATACTTCTGCTTTTCGTCTGCTTATTGGGCTAACCGGGGCCCACTTTACTAAAAATTGGCACCCCAACGGGTGTTTATAATGTCCATGGGTGATGATCATCACTTAACATCAGGTGTCGCCAGCAAGATGGCAAGCGATATCCTCTACATTAGTTAAACGTGGAACAATCTCATTTGCGGGCGTACATTTATATTAATTAAATGCAGGTCGACTTGACCCCCGTGTACCCTTCCTTGCGAGATTGAATTTTTAATTGATTTGCGTTACAATAAAGTTTTACGTGAATACCAAGCCTTCGTTTTTGGGTTTTGGCCAATGTTAATTTTATTATCAGATAAAATGTTTTTTTTGTAATAAATTAATTTTTTAACAATGCCTTTGTTACTTTTTCCATCGCGATGCACATTCATTAGATAGTATTGCAAAAGATGAAGTAAAATGCCTGTTCGCATGCCACCTTGTCACAGAAAAAAAAAAACAAATATTATTCGAACTGTAGAGGCTCAAGTGTGTCTCTAACTTTAGTTTGGGGAGGGCAATAAACGCTAATTTACTGTTACAGGAACGCAATTGAGCAACGCTCAAAATACTTTCGTTAATATACATTATTGGCAACGATTTCTAATAAAGTGTTAAAGAGATACAGATAGTCAGTAAAACCGTTATTTAAAGTGAAAAGATGATAATTTATAAACATTTTGGTCCTTTATTCTGCACGGGTTTCAATCACAAATTGCTTATACCTTACTTTTACTTTTTGCTTTGGGTCCATAGAGTAATAAACCTTCTTCGAACGCAAACTTGGGCTAGCCAGAACCCACGAAATTTGAGTTTGTTTGCCTAAAAGTATCGAAATAGTATACTGCACTGTTATTCATATTTAACTATAGAGCCACTACTCGCACTTTATGTAACAGGCGAATTTGGAACTCCCAAGTTTTAGTTACTAATGACATTGTTATTTTAAGAAGCTATAATATCTAACAGCCGGTATTGCATTGTACGAGAGCACAGTCATAAAACAACGCCTTGACAATCTAGCATACTAGCAATGTTTATAAAACATAATCTATTGTATTGTTTATACTAAAACAATGAAGTCATGTCCAAACTATTCGAGGCACACAGCGAATGCACGGATGGCGCAACGACACCATCGACTTATCGAACTTAAAAATAAACTGAAAATGTGGCTCAAGATTGCATTTCACAAAACACTTGCTTTGACAGTAGCCACCAGAGAAAATACAGTCGTAAAATTTTAATTTGATAATAAAGTGAAAAAAATATGAAATCAATATCCACTAAATATTAAAAAAGCTGCAGAGCTTTCCTACTATATACATATATCATGCGATTTACAACGCATCACGTTAGCGTTCGGTTCAGCGTTTAACCTTACCAACACAAGTTATGCGGAATGGCTCCAATTAAATCCACCTATCTGAATGTTATACGAGTCTCGCTGATATGCAGTGCGCTTATCACAAAAATCAATATATAAATATTATCACGTAAGTTACTTAGCAATTGCGCCTCAATGGAACCTGATGTCGTAAAGCAATAAAGATATGCATGCGGGTTGTACCTACGTGAAGCACCGATCGTGTTGTGGAGGGCGGACTCGAATGGCACCGAGGTTCAGTAATAAAATTAATGAATTAAAGTGTTTTTACGGTCAAACATCCAAAACGCATGTAATATAGTGTAATTTAACTGTAGTAGGGCCACGCAGCAGCCTCGGCTGTTGCACGAATAAGCAATGCCGAAGACGTGGGTTCGATTCTCACAGCGGCGACAATCTTTTCGTACTTTTTCTACATATTTTAATCGTTTTAGTTATTTATATACTTGTATAAAAACTTCAGACAAATAATTGTGCTCTAAAAATTCAACGATCGATCTAATGAAGAATCAACGCGGAAAGCACATGGATGTTTAAACTTGAACAGTACAATAACTCAAAAGCAAGCAAAACTAAAGAATTTTTACTTTTGTTGTTTTCAAATATTTGAACACAATTGTTTCACTGGAATTACGTATAATGGAATAGCTGCTTCCAAAAAAATATTTTCATTCTTTTCTAGAAACTACATGACTACCAAGAATGAAATAGGCCAATAAGGAATTAGTCAAAATTAAATTTAAAAAGGAAAACATTACTGTCTATAATTATGTATCTTACTACTTTCAATGATGTTTTAATGAAGATGAACGCATGTGCATACTGCGCGGCGTTTATAAATTTTTCTGTTTTATGTTTTTTATTATTTCTATATGTAAATGTGACAGATGATATAGAACGTACGATATGGAAAGAGACAGCAGTCTATAGTGATGCAATGCAATTACACCAATTGGCGTAATTTGAGCGCCTTAGCTTCGGTGCGCCAGTGTAATGTCTACCTCTTATTTGTATATAATATCACTGCCTACTATGCATATCTGGATGTAAACAAAGTGATTACGATAACAATAACAGTATGTCACGTGGTAGTTATGAATTGACTCTTAAGCGATCGTCGCTGAATTTTCCCGATAACGAGTATGTAGATATTAGTTTTTGTTTTTATTTTTCCTCATTTATTTTAATTTAATATTGAAACATCTGCTTTGCCCGGTCTGTTACTATTACTTATACCGAAGATGAATGTAACAAAGCGCTGGGTTAATAACAAAATTAAAAATAAAAAGGCCGATAAACGGCCAAAAATATGCCTAGTTAGATTTCCACCACCTTTACCTTTGACAAATTAAAATAAATAGAATAAAGACAGCTTGTGTATTTTTAACTTTATAAACAAGGTAATATGCACTACCTATTTTTGCTTTTCCTAATATAACACTTCAAAGTTTAATCCTAAAATAGTTTACTACAGAAAGATAAGCCTATTCAAAGGTGTGGCAGACCTTGTGCCATTTCTTTAATTAAAAAAAATGCCCATGTACGAGTCGTACTCGCGCACGAAGGGTTCCGTAACATCTCTAATATATAAAATTCTCGTGTCACAGTTTTCGTTGCCATACTCCTCCGAAACGGCTTGACCGATTTTGATGAAATTTTTTGTGCTTATCCGGTATCTATAAGAATCGGGCAACATCTATTTTTCATCCCCCTAAATGTTTAGGGGTAGTCCAACCCTGAATTTTTTTTTATTTTTTAGACAAAATTTTTAATTTCTATTTTTTTATGATACAACATACAAAAATACATACAACCCTAAATTTTCACCCATCTACGCAGACGTAGTCGCGGGCAGCAGCTAGTTATCTATAAAAACGACAAAAAAAATCATGTCTGTTGAATGGGAGCACCAATGAATTATTTTTCTATTGTTTTTTAGTGTTTGTTGTTATAGCGGCAACAGAAATACCATCGCGAAAATTTCTACTGTCTAACTATCACGGTTCATGAGATACAGCCTGGTGACAGGGGGGACGGACGGACAGACAGACAGACAGGCAACGGAGTCTTAGGAATAGGGTCCCGTTTTACGCTTCGGGTATATAAAAAATTACAAAAAATAAATGAGCCTTCTGTGTCGTGGGACCTTGACTTTATGGTGAATTGGCCGCGAGATTTTATACTACAATAAATGCATCAATAAAAGCTCAACGGGGAATGATATTAAAAAGCAACTATAATCGTAAAAAAAAAAAAAATTTTTTTATTCAGTTCTTATGTTTTCACTGGGAAAACGTTAATCAAACGTAAGAAAATTGAGGTCTTCTCCATAATTAAACACCTATAAAGATCATAAAAAAAC